GTTTCAAAGCTTGATATATGGGTTCCACATGTTCTTTAAGAGAGATGCTCTCTTTGGTGGGATTTTAAGGAAATTTTTTTTTTGGAGCTTTTACCAGACAATTTAACAATTGATTCAAAAGTGTACTGCCATTGAGTAAATAAATTGAGTAATATCATCAAACAGAAAAGGTGGCCAGAATTGATCAACAAAACAGGTGTAGTGTTTTACCACGATAATGTCAAATTTCACACAAGTTTGGTAACTCGTCAGAAACTGTTATAACTTAGATAGGACGTACTATCACACCAACCATATTCGCCAGATCGAGCACACTCAGATTACTACTTGTTCTGGTCTATACAAATTTTTTTAACTGTAATTCATTTACTTGAAATGACAATGACAAAAATCACTTGGAGCAGTTTTTTGTAAGCAATGATCAAATCTTTTACGAATGTGAAATCATGCTACTACCAGAAATGATGACAATAGGTATTTGACCAAAATGGTCAATATATAATTCAATAAAATATTTATTTATTATAAAAATATTGTGTTTTTTTCCACAGAAAAAACAAAATTACTTTCCGAACAACCCAATAGTTCATTCTGTTGCTGTTATACCAGTCCCCACTGTTTGTAAAGTTATAAATAACTTTTGCCTGTCTTTTGATACATGTTTTGCATGTATCAAAGAACTTGAGCGAAGATTGAAACAATTATCCTTTTGTTGTGTGCAAGAAGTAACATGACACTTACGTCAGTCACATCATGACCTGAAATTATTTTTTATTATTTAATAATCATTAATTAGTAATCAAAAATTTAATTATTATAAGTATATAATAAAAAACTAAACATATTGCAAATGCTTATCAAACTTTATATATTTAATGTAAATTAAAGTTTAATAGTGTGTGGCACACCTGCAGACAACACCACGTTATCCCTACTCCATTGACACTTCACTGTCATAAATCACAACTTATAACTTGAAAACAGGGCTTTGGAACGACCATTTTTTTGAGTTGCTCCGCTCCGGTATCAAAGTATTTGCTCCAGCTCCGCTCCATGCTCCGGTTAAAATATTCTTATAGGGATTACACTAATTTTGTCTTTGGTATATAAGTACGCATAAAAAAACTTGTTTATTTACAACTAATTTATTATTGAAAAAATTAACATACAACCTCATTGATGTTAATAAATAAACTGGGGAGTCATGAAGGGGAAGGAATAGCTTGGTCAAGGAATAGTGGAGACTGGAGAGAGAGGTTCCCACCTTTCACATGGGACATATGTGGAATGGATATAAAATTAATCTGTGCTTATGATCACCTTTCTTTTTAGTTCAATTATTGTATTTTTAACATTTGTAAATATTACAACTTATGCCACTTCCATTGTCATTGTCTCAAATATTAAATAAATATATATATCGGAGCAGTGGAGCACTACAAATTTCCGTGCTCTGGTTCCGCTCCTGCTTCGAGTAAAAATCCATTGCTCCACCTGCTCCATGCTCCAGCTCCAGCTCCACTCCAAAGCCCTGCTTGAAAATATACATTTACAATTTTAATTTTTCAGCTAAATATGACAGCAATTTTTTGCATTTGAACTTTATTTCATATGTAACAAACACAAGTTATTTTTACATTAACAATATATTAAGAAGAATTATATTTTTCTTCACTCATAAAAAATAAATATCTAAATTAAAAATATTGACCTATTGAATTTTTTGTTTTCAATGTTACTTATAAAAAATATAAATTCAGCTTGAATACAATATATTTTCAAACTGAACAACTATACAATTCATATTAAATTTTTAAAAATCATATGCAGTTAATATTACAAAAATGAGGATGTATAGGTGCATGGTGATATACACCAACCTTAGTTGCATGAGTTTCTCCATCTGAATGTGGTCCATCAGCAGATGATGATTTTTCTGGAAGAGGATGTGTTGCAGAATGACGCTGTTCCTGTACTGATGCCAATCTATTAAAATTATTAATATCAGTTAAAATACATCATTTATTATTATAAATTTTTTAATAAAATACCACTTAAAGTTAAGTTTGAGAAAAATATTTACAAGCTGTATAATTAACATCTACTTTATGCCTTTTATAATTGTTCCATTCTTGTTAACAGAATTTGTCAAATACATAATCTTGTAATATGAAGCTATGCTTATTGGAGTATATACTTAGGTTGCTATTAACCACTTTCAGTAGGTATTTTAAACAATAGGATTGTTATTACTTATGTCTCAAAATATATAAGGTAAAATACATTTATACAATTTAACTATAATTAAAACTCTGATTACGATAAGTGATCATTATCATCAGGTAAATAGGTATTTTTAAAGTATCTTTTCATACACCTTATTTTTCCTAAAACAAATTTATTTACTCATACTTTACAACTATTTTTTTCTTGAATTAATTACACCTGAATCTGAAGAATAATGGAAGCCTTTCTTGCACTATGACCCCAGTAGTGTGGAATATATGCATCCATCACACATGGACCTCATTAGTATGGAATATGAACATTCATTACACTTGGACCTTGTTAGTATGGCATTCCAGCATTCCTTACACTTGGACCTTATTTTTCTTGAATGGGCTTTTCTTATTTATGTCCACACAAAACTAATCCCCAGAAGTACATGGATGAGTCTGATCCACGTTTATATACAGTACATAACCAGTAGTGATGTATATTTGTGTGTGTGATGCTGTCAGTCACTTGTATTGTATTAACCATGATTTTAAGTATATCTCATAAGAAGTGTTTTCATTCAGGAAATGTAATACTCCATATTCACAGGTTTTTTCCACAATATTCTAGATAAAACTTATCAAAACTTTTTCTAAGTAAAGAATTAATCCTTAAATTATTGTTTGAATGAACAGCTATATGTATTGAAAATTCTTCTTTATTTTAACAAACTTCAAATCTATTTTTAAAATTATTATTTAAACATAATCAACTCAATACAGATGTAAATTTAATTTAAGAGATATAAAACCTTTCACACTTTGTTTCTAGCAGTTTTAATCCATAAGAACAAACATTTTTGGCCGTTTTGAATGGCTTTCTTCAGGTACAATAAGGTTGGTTGGAATGTCGGTTAGCAAATATTGAAATGATGTCATTGTTTACAAAGGTTTCTTCTTACTATTGATGTCATTGCTGATTACAAAGTTTAAAAGATATTGCTATTGTTAATTTTCATTTAATTTTACCCAAGATGTGTGACTAACTATCGATGATAAGATAATTGTTTAAATTTGAAAAATGAAATAAGAAGATAAATATAGAAAATGCTTGACAGATTGCTACAGGCTTGATGAGGGTGGATTGGCCTATTTAATTTAAGGAGTTATTGAGGAGTGATTGCCATGCAGTAGAGAGCGAGTCTACATCTACTGTTAATACAATTTTCCATGAGGGATTTCACAAAGATTTCTAGTGTTTCAATTGTTCTAAGTTTGTTACTGTCAAGCATAGGTATAATAATCTTAGCCTCTTCCCATTTGGCTGTTATATTCAGTTCGCTTGCAAATTGGGCTAGGGTGGAATTAAACTTTTTGTTGTGTGTGTTGTATTTATGCTCAGCTATCCTTTTTGTAAGTGATCTGTTGGTTGAGCCTATATATGTTAATTTCTTGTTCGGATAAAATCTGTTGTCCTCTAGTGAAACTGAGTAAATCCCAGGTCTTCTGGCTTCACTGCATTTATCTTTGGTATTAGCCAGAAGTTTATATATTGGAGAGTTGCATTTGTGTGTAAGATCAGCTTTGACCTTCTTGGTTATGATTTTATACACTTGGCTCATTCTAGGGTCAAAATCAACTACAATGCATTTAAGCTTCTGTTTTAAAGGTATGGGATTAATTGCTTCTGTTTCTAAGCAACTATGTATTTTTTGCACTAGACTATCTATTAATTTACTGCTGTAATTGTGGGCTATGGCGATGTGTTTGATGTGTTGAATTTCTTGTAGCATATCATTAATGTTAGAGCAATGGGTAAACACTCTATGGATTAGAGCCCTGTAAGCTGATATTTTATAAGTAAACAGGTCATTTGAAGTTGAGGGGATGAAGAAAGATTGAAGATTAGGCTTATGGTATACCTTTGTGACTATACAACCAAGTTTTAAGTATATATGGAGGTCAAGGAAATGGGCCATCTTATCATCTTGTTGGTCTAACTTTAATTTAAGCCCAAATGGGTTGTTATTGACAGCCTGCAGAACTCCATTTATATTTGTTTTGGATCTCCAAATAATAAGAATATCATCTACATAACATGTGTAAAGAATGATTTCTGTGTTAAAGTCTTGATTTCTGTATTAAAACTGCTAGAAACAAAGTGTGAAAGGTTTTGTCTCTTATTTTAAGTAGTTCTAGCTTTGTGTGCATGGAAGTAAATTTAATTTGTTATGAATAAAGAATAATAATAATTCTAGTAATATTTTAATGCCTAAACAAACATCACAAAATCCAATAAATTTGTAAAGCCAAACAGTCACTGGATTACATCAAGCTACTTTTCTGTGAATATATTTAATTAATTTCTAAATACTTTGTCAGTAGAGGGAGGCTTTAGGTGCCATCTCCCACTTATCATGCAGATATATTACCACTTATAGCATATGTAAATAGTCTGGAAGAGGAGATCATACTGAAAGTTTGGGTAGCATAACTGGCAATGCATCTGCACAATAAGTGGCAGTTGTGGATTTGAGTCCCCTTCAGGCAAATTCTTTTCTTCCAGAATATTATAATTAAATGAATATTTATTAAATTTAATAAGAGATGGTGTCTAATGCTACACTCTAGTGACAAAGTATTTAGAAATTAATTAAATATAATTGTGGAAAAGTATCCTGATGTAATCTAGTGGTTTGGCTTTCTACTTTAATACCATACATAAAAATGATGACTTACCGTTTAAGTGTTACTAAAGTACCAGTCAATTTCTTACACCTCCTTAAGGCATTTTCTAATCTGTCTGGTTCTTCCTTCAGAAATCTTTAACAAAAAATTAAAATTGAAATTACTGAGAAATATAGTTTTTTCAAAGTCTTATTTTAACTACAAAAGTAATATAAAATTTAATATACATTACTTAAAACAATTAATAACAATTTTTGCAATATCAGATTTAAAATAAATCCTAAATTCAATTAAAAAATTATACTGTAAACATGGCTTTGATATTTTAAGATCATAATATTTATGAGAAACTTTACAATGACCTTTCCAATCACCTTAATTTTTTTATGTTATCAAACAGCATGCTATTTATTATTTTTGTGAGATGCCATATGTTTCACTGGTTACTTTGTGATACAATATCTCACTTACTATATATTCATGTAAATTAATTATGTGTTATCTATGTTTAATAAACAATTAGAAAAGTATGTGCAGGTTATGTGGTGAGTTATATGAAAAATTTTGATGAGTTTGAATTTGTAATTTAAACAGTTTTTCCTTCATCTAAAGTCATTAGGAGCATCTTTAGAAAATATAAAAAATCCTTGGTGTACTACAGACATTTCTAATAGTAACAGACAGTTCCAAAATCCTTTTGGAACTTTAATATTTCTATTAGAAGCCTGAAGGTGAAGATTTCAATCACAATTGAAAATGTTAGCAGCAACAGTTATAATTATTTAATAATCTATCAAAATTAATACACTGAAATTAAATTATTTTGATGATAATAATTCGGATTTGAATAATTTCAGTTCTTATAATACTTGGTATAAGTATTTAAATTAGGGGTCCCCAAAGTGGTCGATATCGACCCCTTGGGGTCGAAAAGTGTTCTCCAGGGGTCGATGAATACACGAGGGTCGAAAGGGGGTCGATTAATACCAAAGAGGATCAATTAAACTGTCTAGGAAAAAAATAAAATATTTCAATAAAAATTCGAAATACGGATATGATCAACAACATTACTGACTAACTACCCTAGTTATAACTCGAGTTTTGCCTTAGCCTATGCCGCTTTAAGCATGTGCTACTCTGTTTTCACTCATCTGGCAACTGTACAAGTGTTACAAACATGTTATGAATGCTGGTAGTTCATTATACACAGACATACGCTGCACAGTTATACTCTAGTAGGGTTGTCACTCTAAGTATTTTATATCTAAGAGAAGACTTTAAAGCACGTTTCGAAGACTCGGAGAATATGCATGTTTCCGAATGGTTCGCTAATCCATTTGATGTAAAAATAGATAATGAAGGTAGTGAACCTGGCTTAGAAGATGTACTGATTGAAATATGTGTAGATCTCGAAGCTAAAGCGTTGTTTAAAAATAAANAAAAATACCAGAATTAAAACAAAAATAGACTCAAAAACTCATTCATATATAAACATATTTACATTTTTTATTATCATGTCTTTATAGAAATTGTTTATTGTATTATGAAACCATCATTATAAAAAACACTAACTGTATCAAATTTCAAAGAACATTTATAATAATAAAATATATATATATATTACTAAAACTGTACAGAAAGATAATTTGTTTAATTCTTATATCATTTATGCTTTAAAAATTGATGTTTACTATATAATTTATTAACTTTATTTAAGCAAAATTACTGTCCTCACATTACTTAATAGTTTCTTAACCATCTTCAATCACAAGAACATAATAACAACAATATATTTTATGAAAGAATAAGAAAATTGCTAACATTTTTGAAATCAAAGATTTTCAACTAAAAAATAATATAAGATTGAAAAATTCTAGAATTTGTTATAAAAATACCAACTGTAGTAAGAAAAAGTCAAATTGTAATTCAAAAAGTTGAGAGATTATTTATGAAAACTAGAATCAAAAAACAGTTTTAAAATATTCAAGAAATTACAGATTAAAAAAATTTAAGAACAGTAACACAACAAATTTAAATAATTACAGTAAAAATTAGAGTAATAAAAAATAACAGCAATTTAAAAATGTATTAATGTAAGTTTATGACAAAAATTGCTTCAGTACTTTAATATAATAATTTATAACCAAAATTATTCAAGAATAGAATTTATTCTCGACCATTTAAATTTATAGAATACAAGATTTGTATATAAATACATATATAATATATATTTTAAAACAAAATTTATTATTATAATAATTTAAATTAAAAATAAACAAATTTTTCATAAAATTTAGACCAGAATTTTAAGTCTTGAATACAACACTATTACTTAGTACTCATTTCTGACAGTT